AGATTGCTTCTGGTAAGTTGTGTTGTGTATGGGTTGTGGATAGCTTGTAGCTGACAAATTTGTGGATTCCACTAGGGGTCTCGAGAGCGGTAGTGATATGATCATAGGTCCAGGTTTCTGGGTCAAAGGGTGTATTGGTATGCCTGGTTCTTTGATGTACTAGTGTTGCCTATTCTATGTCATCTGAAGTGTCTATTGATAAAAGATTGAGGTTTGTTTTGGTGGCTTGGCTATATGAGCGTTTGCTTGTAGTAGTTTGGGTAGCAGGGAGAGGTCTGAAGGTACTTTCGGGTGTAGATTTAGCCACTTTGTTTGAAGCTACAATGAGTGGGGATACATTATTTCTGGACCTCTTATGGTTGGTGTTGGTACTGGTTGTAACTTCAGTAGTTGTAATATTAGAAGTGGTTATTAGGTTTAGCATAGAGATAATTTGTTTAGTAGGCGTACTTGGCCTGGGCAGGTTGGATGCAGTGGCATTGCTAGTGGTTGTGTTACTAGTTGAAGGTATGACAGTTGTGGCTATAGTGGAGAGGTTTGTGTTTGACTTAACTGTGTTGTTGGCATTTTTGTTTGTATCTGGTGTAATATTGGTGGGAGGCCTTGGTAGGTCTGTAGGAATAGATACAGAGGTGTTGCTGATTGTGTGTTGTGTGACATCTTCCATGTTGCTTTTATTGGATTCATTGTCAGATTCTATTTGTCCTATAGTGTTGTACGGAATTCTGGGCAGGTCTGCAGTACCTTTTGCCTTGGTATAAGGTTTCATATTGCTTTCGTAGGCGTTGGTAATTGTATTGAGGTCACAATTGCGAGTAGATTTAGGAAGTTTGGTGCTAATGTTGACGATATTGTTTTTTGAGGTAGTGAGATTGAATAGAACTGATTGGGAGGGATCATCATGTTTACAAATCCATTGAGATGGATAATTGACCAGGTTTGGGATCTTGCCAGATTTGGTAATGTCAATATAGAAAATGAAGTCGTTGACGTACTTTGGAATAGAGAAGCTGACAACAAAGGTAAGTTTGGACCAGTCTTTGATAGTAATTTCGATGAAATTTTTGTGTGTTCTACTTCTGAGGTCTGTGGCTGGGAGATAGTGGCAGTGGCCTCTTGTTGTACAGCTTTGCGAGATGTAAAAAAATAACTGAAGATGCCGGAAGAGCTTTCTGAGATCATATCTTTAGGGGCAAGTTGAGTCTTGGTAATGGGGTTGTTTGAAGTTTCTTGTTGTTTTGGTGTAGCAGGCTGTTAGTACTTTGCAGTGATGTGTTTAAATATTGGTGGTCCTTAGGACCGCTTTCGCGGGAGGATGAGAAAACTGGTTTTTTGTCCTTTGGAGTGTTTATTGTTATTTATTTGTCAGAGAGAGAACTTTTTAAACAAAGGGCACCTCTTTTAGGTCCTTTTGTAGGTGCCGAGTAACTTTACTTAAGAGCCGAGTATCAGTTTACTTAATAAAATTTTGAGATAATTCTGCAGGAAAGTTTTTTTCTTTTGTTCCTGTTTTGGTAAAAGTGATCTACGGGAAGAGTTTTTGTATATAAAAATTCTAAATTGTTAGTGATTAACTATTTATATAATAATTATTTAACTGTATTTAAAAATTCTAAATTGTTAGTGATAACTATTTATATAATAATTTAACTGCATATAATGATTTTAGAATTGTGATATTAATCAGTTAAATATTTATATTCTTTACTAAATAAAGACAATATAGTTAGAATTATAATTGTAAGGGTAAATAACACAAGAATAATTATAAATAATACTAGATACAAACTGGATTTTTTATTAATATAATAAATTATGCATACAAAATGCTAGAATATTTATATAATATTTACATTAGAACCTTAGATACATTTTTTATATACATGATATGCAGCTATATTAGAGCCAAGCTTTTTTTTATTATAATATAGATAGTATTGTATTATCAAGCTTTTAATAAAATAAAACAAATAATAACTAATTAAAATTAATTAGCTTTATTACTATGTTCTATAATATTTTGTACTAAATTATATAGCTTTCAGGTTACTTTCTTTTTTTTCTCAATAGCATTTTGTATGAATCTTTTTCTTTTTACCTAATAGTTGTCTCCCCAAAGCCTGTCTTCTTGTAGTTTCTTTTCTTCTTTGAACCAATGTTACTTGAAAGGGTATCTTTTTGCTACTTTGAACCATTGTAGAATTATTTGCATACTGGTAAATAAATAAAAAAAGCTTATCTTCTAAGAGATTTTTTGCATTATAATATCGCTTTTAAAATCTTTTGAAAGCCAAATTAATTGTGTGTTTTGCTTGATGTCACTTTCAATCTTGTGAAAGAAATTAGCTAAAAATTTAATATGACATGATTCTTTATCACTATTAGTATTTAACTCTTTATCAGTATTAGTACTTAACTCTTTATTGTCATTCTTATTTTTTGTAAAACTATAGAAAAAAGAATTACTGAATTAGTAGAAAATAAAATATTTCATAATCATCTAATATAAAATATACATGTAATTATTTTTTTTATTTTTTTTTTTTTTAATATTAAAGTGACCACTTAGGTCCCTGGCACTAAGCTTTATTCAGATAAATACAATATTACATCAATTTCACGAGGATACAACTAGCCACACATGTACTTTTGGTACCTAATTTAAGTAGTCCGCCTGGGTTCTACACTAGCC